GTTTTAGGGGTATGTTATGTGTAGGGTTAGGTTTAGGGGTCGGGATAGGGTTAGGGTTCGGATCTAAATTTTCAGACAGGAATTTTGTTCCAGGATCAATAAATATGTTGACCCAGGAACATGTCTTACCTGGCAAAATCACAGTGACCACGTTAGCATGCTGTTGCGAGAGTCAACACACACGCACATGCGCTCAAACACACGCACGTTCCTCAACCGAGCTTGACACACTGTGCCCAAAAGCATTGCATCGTGTCTTTTTCTGAGATCTCTGGGTCTCTAATCCAAATCTCACCCGAAAACATACAGCCGTTTCCAGAACAGCAGCACCCTCAGGAACCAAAGGCTTATTTGATCTTGTTCTTTCTCAAATAACCTCGAGCAAATTCAAATGTATATTGTAGGAGTTCATCTTAAGAGCCTCTGTCAAAAGCCAAGAATGAATCTTTGAATACAAATCAGCATCTTTTAAAAGACGAGACTGTCGCTTGAGTATTTATACCTAATGAAATTGCCATTGCAGCTGCCAGGGGAAAGATGATTGGCAAAAAGAAATGGCAACCGACAGGAGCTCATGCCTGTCTACCTGTCAGAGATTGGATGATTTTTTGCTCGAGGGGACGTATAATTCTGCTGTAAATGACAAAGCATAAGCACGTTGTGCATCTGTGTGTACTGTGAGTCCTGAGTCACACACTTGTGAGGCAGAGCGCTGATCGTCATAGGTCGTGACAATGCGCACGCGACACAACAGAGCTGTTTTATGACACAGCTGAATGCCAACAGAGTAACGCCGCAGATGTGATCTCAGATGGACGTCCGTAGGGCCGCTTTTCCAGAGCCGCGTCGCCAACTTTAGATGCTACGCGCTTAAAATGTTTTTTAAAATATTGTAGGCTAATATCAAGCAAACATTAGATTTATTAAAGTAATAGCTGGTTTAAAATTGCAGGACCATCATTGAATGTACGTGAACATGAATGAAATGTAAGAGCTGTGGAGGAGCACATTTTCAGTGAATAATGACTTGAATTTATGTCTTTTAAACACACAAATCTACTGTATGTCTTCAGAAGAATTGGAATATCAAGAGTTTCAGCAATTTTGGGACAGTTTTTCTGCTAAATATATTGGTTTGTGCACAGAAGGATGAAAGCCATACGGGTTTTGACAACATGAGGGTGGCCGAGGCTGTCAGTCTGCAAAAAAAAAAAAAAAAAAAACTGGTTTAGAATAACATAAGGGTGTACGGAAGCGTATTGCATTCACTTGAAGAAAAAAAATTTACTCTGTTTTTCTGAATTAACGAGTTAATTATCTCCGAATTACGAGATAATTTTTCATGGAAAAAAAGTTTTTGCTCTGTTTTTCTGAATTAACGAGTTAATTATCTCAGAATTACAAGATAATTTTTCATGGAAACATTTTTTTGCTCTGTTTTTCTGAATTAACGAGTTAATTATCTCAGAATTACGAGATAATTTTTCATGGAAAAATTTTTTTGCTCTGTTTTTCTGAATTAACGAGTTAATTATCTCAGAATTACGAGATAATTTTTCATGGAAAAATGTTTTTGCTCTGTTTTTCTGAATTTCTGAGTTTTTGAGATAATCAAGTCATTAATTCAGAAAAACAGAGCAAAAAAAAAATTCTATGAAAAATTATCTTGTAATTCTGAGATAATTAACTCGTTAATTCAGAAAAACAGAGTAGATTTTTTTCTTCAAGTGAATGCAATACGCTTCCGTAAGGGTGAATGGACTTTTAAAAATAAAGGTTTCAAAAGAGGGTTTTCATAGTGACGCCATAGAAGAGCAATTTTTTTGGATCCCCAAAGAACCATTCTTGAAAAAACTTTTTTTTTCTTAGTGTAAAGAACATTTCAAAAATCTAAAGACTATAAAGAATCATTTGAGAAATGAAAAGGTTCCGTGGATGTTACAGTTTCTTCATGAAACCATCGATGCTAATAAATAACTTTTATTTTTAAAGTTTAAATGATCCATCATAAAGAAATAATACAGAAAAGAAAACAGCAAATTTCTAAACAGAACTTGAGTTGGGGACAAATAATATATTGATGCTAAGCTGTGCCATTGGGGCTAATTCCTACACATGAATTACAATTAATTGGTGCTGCATTGTGTACACATTTACCATGCAGTTTTGGCACAGACTAAAAGACTTTGTGTCCTTTTTTGGGGCCATGGAGAATAAGCTGTGCTGAATACAAAGCTTACTGCAGCCACCTGCATCAGAAAGCCAGAGAGAAACTCAAATTTGGGTGGAGTCACATGAGAGGTGACAGCCTACCGCTGCGTGTGTCTAAACTAACATAGAAACTGTCACCAAACCTGTGACCCCAGCCGCCCCTCACAGTATTACTGCCAGCGACAGACCATTAACTCTCTGCCACTGATGCCGCAGGAGGAAGACAGTGCCCACATATAAACTAGGTGTGAAGAAAACAAGCCGTACGTAAGGAGCGTCAAAAGTTTCCAAAGGATCTCAATGCACCGCCCCCACTTAAAACGAAAGTTCATCCTAAACCTCATGACGTCCCAAAGCTATGATTTGCTTTCTTCACGAAACACAAAAGTTATTTTTATTCTAAGCACGAGCTGCAATTTTGTTGCCTGCCTCTTTAAACGCTCCAGCTCCTCAAAGTAGGATGGATTCTGATTGGCTGTCAATGTTTCTATCGTTTGTCAGCTGGGGAAAATCGCTTTCAAAGTTGATTTCCAATCAAATCGTTCTTCTGTGGCGTTATCGTTGTGTGTGGACTCTTTTCTAAAGCTATTCTTTTAAATTTCATTATGATTATAAGCCTAGTTATTTTCTTTGGTCTGAACTTTGTTCTAATTTGTTACAGATGTATTAATTATTCTTGCATACATTACCATTGCCTGTTAGTAGATTCAAATGACATGTAGTTGCAAAGTTACTTATATAGACCCTGTCCCAAATGGCAAACTAAGCACTCGCGGTCTTTCTATGAGTCCGCTGTGAGTACAATCAACTTGGATATTTAAGTCATTTCAACTTAAATTGCATTAAACTGACTTGAATTGAAAAATGAGTTGAATCTTGTATAACTTAAAAAAGGTAGAAAATTAACTTATTTTGACAAGTTAAGAAAACATGTTTTACTTAAACAAAGAAGTATCAAAAGTGCCTCTGGACCCAAACATGAGATAAATAACGTTATCTCAACAGTCATGAGGGTTAAATTGCCTGAGAAGTTATTGGGTGAAATTGCAGTTTATAAGGAGAAGAATAGTCAGGAACTCACTGCGCCTTTAGTCCAAATGACGTGCGTAGACAAAAAATTACAAATAGCCAAACACTTCAAGAGAGTCTGCACACTCTACCAAAGAATAAGTCATCAAGTGCGAGATAAAATCAATACTTTCTCTCTCAAGCTTACAATGCTTAGTGCAGGAGCCATCTTAATTTAAGGAGTCACATGGTTACATAGAGATCACATGATCAACCGAGCCAGACTATAACAAATAATCCAATCTAAACGTTGTACGACATGCTACATAAAAAGAATTCAACATCAAGTGAAAAAAAATCAACATAGTAAATTAAAAATTGTATTAATAAATATAAACCCATAAAAATATTTATACAAAAATTATATTTCACAATACATATGTTATAATCCCCAAATAGATAATCAAATTAGAGAACAACAACTGTACTTTGGAGTAATAAGAAGATATGAAGACCTCCGATGCAAAAGCCTCTGTCAAAAATGAGATAATAATATTGAGTTGAATGCTCTCCGCACATACGTTCATCAAATACTTCAAACTCACTAAATCCCAGTCTCAGCCCATTCAGAAATGTCGGAACTTAGGTAGAAACCTATAGCCTGATAAAAAAAAAAAAATTATATTAAAGGAAAACGTTAAACGGACTTAGAGGCTTTTGCATCTGAAGTCTTCATATATAATTCATAAGAAACATGGAAAAAAGCCACTAGAGTTGACCAAATACTCTCTTGTATTATGTCTCCATAATGTGAAAAAAGGGGAGGCTCCTTGAAGATTTTGTATCCATTGTCATCGGCCTTTGAGATAACTTGTAACTTTTGAGATTGCATTTTTCAAGATATCCTCTAAGAAGGAACTGTTTGTAGCCTACATCTCATCACATTCCACTTCAAAAACCATCAATGTTCCTACAAATTCTCTTGATTCGAAGAAATTGGCTGTAAGGGAGACCGTTCTTCAAACTCAGAGGGATATGATTAACTTATTTGGTGGTTTTTAATAAACCAAGTTATTGATGGTTTATTAAAGAGCTCTGCATCTACTCAGCCCACTGTTTATTCAACCCGACATTCACGGAAGGCCAAAAGAAAGAAAGAAAAAAAGCCACGGCAATATAATTTACAAGCGTGACTCGCATCAAGCGCGAGTAAGTGACGTAAATGAAGCTCAGTCAATCCGCGCGCTCCTCCAGCGGAGCCAAACTGCGCGCGCCGGCGTCTCTATATTAATCCGTTAAAGCGCCGCTGTCCGTTCAGCACCACTGACTGTGCGAAGAGAGTTCACGCATTTAACTGCAGAATCCTCTGGAAATCGCTCTTCATTTGGACAGATAGGATCACTTGTTTTTTGTGTTTTTTTGAGTGATATTTTGTTAAAGTGACAGTTTGACGCGTCTGTGAGAAGGACTCCAACAGTTTGTTTAACATACTCACTGACTGTGTGAAGAGAGCAGAAGCGCGCGCACTCGCTTTTTTTTACTGGAAAAAGGTTTGGGTTTTCAGGTCAATTACAGAAAATCTCTGTTGTTTCGGTTTAGATTTGTTTTTGAGTGATTTTTGTGAGCGTGTCGTGGAGCTCTAAGTTTTTTCTTTTTTATTTAATACATTTTCAAAGATCTGGTTCTATTTTGGAATTCGCGTTCTTTTGACACTAAACGTCATTTTTAGTCCAACTAACTGAATTGACTCAGGGTTTTTTTTTTTGCGTTTTGCGTTTTGCGTTTTGAAGAGAGAAACGGCCGTAATGAGAGTTATCTTCGTGGCACTGCTGCTTGTATACGCGTCAGGGAGCGGGGAAGCGGCTGGCGCGAAAGGAAGCCGCTTCGTGTGCACTGCAGTGCCCGCGGGCGCCGACCTCAGTTGCCCGGTTGAAACGACCAACCGGGTCCAAAGCACCAGTCCGCAGGAGGAAGAGTTACGGAATACTATCATCCAACTTCGAGAGACCATCCTGCAGCAGAAGGAAACTATCGTCAGTCAGCAGGGCACCATCAAAGAGCTCAACTCCAAACTCGCGCGCTGCGAGGCTGAAGCCAAGTCGCGAGGCAGCGCGCGCAGGAAGGATTATAGTAAAAACACGATGGGCGATCTGCCGCGTGACCCCACCGAGACCGTGGAGCAGCTGGGAAAGACCATGCAGAGCCTGAAAGACCGGCTGGGAAACCTGGAGGTGAGAGTGTATGCTTATGAGGGATAAATGGACACTTAAGAGCTATGTGTGAGGAAAATAGAGCTGTAATGATCTGTGAAATTTGGTCTTGACTCTCGCTTATTAGAATTCATGATTTGTCAAAACAAGGTCAAATGAGCCATGTTATGTAGAGGGAGGGGCTTTTCCTATTTGAATTCACGTTATCTGTTTCTTTTTAATTAAATATTAATAATGAGCTTGATGGAAAGCTGTGACTAGATATACTGTACGTTCAGCAAATATTTTTAGGATACTGGTTTGAACTTATTGAACTTAAGGTTTTTTATATAATGCGGATTGTTGCATACAAAATACAATTGTAGCAAATGATACACATAATTGCCCCACTTGACAAAGCCATTGGAAGATTTTGGTATATTACTCAACTGACACACCACTTCTGTAAATAGCCAAGTTGATATAAATTACTTATTACCCCGACCAATATATTGATCGCTATATTCAAAAATCAAAAAGAAAAACTTCATACAGGGTCATTGGGTCATAAGGAATACTATAGTTTCCATCTTGGTAACTCTACATGAAACACAATGATTTTACATAAATCACTTAACTCAAAACACTTATTAAACTTATTAAATAAAACGGACCCACTTTATATTAAGCTTTAATTGCTTTAATCGTGACACTTCTCTTACCTGTTACCCCACCCGTAACATACCAAATCCTCTGCCTAATCTTACCCGGGCCATATCCCACATGAACATGAACGCAATATAAGCACATTGTGCCTAACAGTTATTTTTTATTCATTGATTTTCTTTGACGTGAGTACATAATAAAGACACCAAAACACAAAGTGACCATTTATTTATTTATTTGAATACACAGTAGTTAAAGACACCAAAGTGTGACCATTAATTAATTAATTTATTTATCTGAATATACAGTGGTTAAATAGAAAGACACCTATACAAAGTGTGACCTTTTTATTTATTTATGTGAGCACACAGTAGTTTAAGACATCTATTATAAAACTGGACCAATAAAACAATTAATGTTTTGGTACATGGACCTACCCATTTAACTACTAAGATGTAAGAGCCAATGTATACTCATTTAAGGCGTTCACCACTAATTCAGCATCTCACAAATCCCCAGCAATTTAATTTTTGAAAGGATTTTTGGCTACAACAGAATAAGCCATTTGCAAATTGAAGCAGATGAATATTTTGGTTCCCTGTGTCCTGCAGCAGCAGCTGCGTACCAACACATCAGGTGGACCATTTCCCAGCGAGCTGAGAGACCTGCTGAAGCGGCGTCTGAGTGACCTGGAGAGCCAGCTGCTGACCAGAGTGGCCGAACTCGAGGACGAGAAGAGCCAGCTGTACAACGAGACGACCGCACACCGCCAGCGCACCGAGAACACCCTCAACTCACTGCTGGAGAGGATCACCGAGCTGGAGAAAAGTACGCCATTCTCACTGATGAATTATTCAATCCGCCATGTCAAATGAGACGGGATTCATCTTACTGATGTGGTACCCTACCAGTTCAAATGTTTGGGGGGGGGTTTTCACCTGCTGGTCCTCAGTATGGGATAGGAACACTAGTCGTAAAACCTTTCACGCTCAACGCGAGCGCCATGCACCGCTTTGAACTCCACATGAAAAAAACATTGCAGAAAGCATCACCGAAGGGCAACGAGCTTATAAAAAAAAGAGAGCACAGATTCACAGTGAAAATATGCATTTGAGCTTGGAAGAGAAAACAGTCAATGCCAATTGTTTTGATATATCACAGAACAAAAGCAGTCCTTGAATGGAAAGCATACTTAATAACCATCGCATGACAGCGAACTAAAAAGTATTGAAAATAAAACAATAAAACAAACAATACATAAATAATAAAAAAGAATGTTTGAAACTTTGAGGTCAGCAAGAATTTTTTGAAAGACATCTCTTATTCTCACCAAAGCAGCAATTATTTGATCAAAAATGCAGTAAAAACAGTATAATTATTACTAAATTATTAAAATAACTGTTTTTTTATTGTAATGCATGCTAAAATGTCATTTATTCCTGTGATCAAAGTGCATTTTCAGCATCATTAATCCAGTCTTCAGAGTCACGTGATCCTTCAGAAATCATGCTGATATGATCATTTGCTGCTCAAGAAACATTTCTGATTATTATCAATGTTGAAAACAGTTGTGCTGCTTCATTTTTTTTTTTTGAAAACCATGATTTTTTGATAAGTCCAAAGTTCAAATGAACAGCATTTATTTGAAATAGAAATATTTTTGTTGTGACAGTATAAACGTCTTTAATTCTTAATTAATCCAAACTTTTTAACTGTAGTGTAAATAAATATGTTTGAAATTCAACTCGGGTGCAAAGTTGGTGCAGTCATTTCAAAGGCAGAAATAGCATGCGTCATGCAGAGCGCTTGGAAATTCAGTGGCTGCACTTTGAAAGGTCAACGTAGAAACTTTGAACACTTGACCAGCGCTCGACACGGCATCGAGGGAAACCTTTAACTAATGCTTCGCTGCATTTGGGCCATTTTTCATGCAGAAAATGTTGTAGGATGAACACTGAGGCATATTTTGTTGGCTGTTGGCATTTTTATTTGGTGGAAGAATATCTGCATGTAAATGAACTTGCTATTTACAATCATTTGTTGGCCTTTTTGGATGTGGGATTTATGCAGGCCCCATCTGTTAGCATTGGATGGACACGTCGTCCTGCTGTATTCAGAATTCAGAGCGACGCTAGCACATTTGCAAAGCGAACGATTAACGAATGATTAGCGCCAATGCATCATCAGCATCTTTCACCTTACATTGCCCCAGCATTTAATTTCATAATAAGATAATTACATGAGCCTGTGTGGATCACTCATTTCATTAATCGAACCTTGAATTCAACCCAAATTCAATTTGCTGAAATCAAATTAACACCATCTCTGGTCATCACTTTGCATCTTCTCCCTGTCCTTCAATGCAAACCTATCTCTCGATTTTATCCGAAGGTAACAATGCGTTCAAATCTCCAGAGGACTTTAAGGTGTCTCTGCCTCTGCGCACCAACTACCTGTACGGCCGCATAAAGAAGAGTCTGCCAGAGATGTACGCCTTCACCGTGTGCATGTGGCTCAAGTCCAGCGCCAGCCCTGGAATCGGAACCCCGTTCTCTTATGGTGTCCCGGGACAAGCCAATGAGATTGTGCTGATAGAGTGGGGAAACAGCCCCATGGAGCTGCTCGTCAATGATAAGGTGAGGCTTTATGTGCTACAGATGCAAAGCTATCTGTGGTTTTTATCGATTGTGTTTGCTTGAAACAAAGTCAGCTTTCCCTATTATGTATTATGTTACTAAATATGATTAATGGTTTTTCATTCAAAATGGTCCTTAAAGGTTCCTCAAATAAAATGTTTTCACAGCCGGATTTCTATTTTAATGCATTTACATGAAGGGGCTTGAAGATCAAAAGCTTATTAAACAGCCCTGCACAGTCAGATGTTATATTCCATCTCAAACCATTTTAAACAGCATTTTTCAAACGTATTACATTTATTGTGTAGTTTTCATGACCTGGTGTTAATTGAGACTGCATGGAATATTTGTACTTTTAAAATTGAATTTGTCCTAGCACAGGAACATTTAAAATTAAAGCTGCAAGCAGCATTTATCGGGGTTCAAGCATTTAAGGCCTTTAAGCACATAAGCATTTGAGACATTAAGTTTTATTTAGCAAGGAAGTAACCACTGACATCATAGATGAAAAAGTCCATTTACAGCCAATACAGGAAATTTACCATGGGAAATATGTGGTTTTCAAAGCTTATTGACAGTTATAGCGCCATCTATGCTCCGATCTCCATAAAATTTTGCATGCTTGTTAATGATGTTATGACACATCTGCTCGTCAATTTTTGTGAAGTTCTGAGTTTTCCTTTATGATTTATAGGCTTTCGACAGTTATAGCGCCACCAATGGTCCAATCTCCATGAAACTTTGCATGCTTCTTCAGCATGTTATGACACATATGCTCATCAATTTTCAGAGAATCAGTTTTCCTTTAGGATTTATAGGCTTTTGAGTGTATTTTGTCACGCCCCTATTCTAAATGACCCTGTTACAGCCACCCAAATGCAAAAGTTAAACTTTTTTTTGATAATTATTGTTCTAGAGAGTCCAGAGAATTGTCCTAGACTGGTCTGGTTCCGATCGGGCGAAAAACCAGGGACTAGTTCGCAAAAGTAGGTTTTGGACAAAATTCGACATATGCCTAAATCGAAATTGGAGATATACATGAATATATTTTGTCCGTCTTGAGCCAAGGATCACAGTGGTGTAAACCTTGATTCTAAGTCAAGCGGTCTAGGAGTTATGAGTGATTTAGTACTTTTGGTTACTGTAGCGCCACCTATGGGCCAATCGGGGTCGTACTCTTATAGGTTCTCCCCAAATTGAGACCTACCATCTGGCCAAGTTTTAAGTCTCCAGCACTTACGGTTTGGTCTGCACGATCAGTTTTACAAATCCTTACAATTACAATAGGGTTTCAGCACTTTGTGCTTGAACCCCTAATTAACGAATGTGCCCACACAGTACAGTATAGTAAAGTAAAGTTTTGAACCTGTATGTGTTTAGAGACATTGTAAATTGCTCACTCAGAGGATCAACTTTATCTACAGTAGATGACAAGAGACATTAGAGAGTTCCACTGTCTTCACTCCAGCTGGTAGTCGCTGCACAGAATCACTCAGCATTCGATTGAAGTTAAAATGCTCTCAACTTTGTTGAGTTTCTGGACACGTGAACAGGGATTAAGATGTGAAAAATATAGCATCATAGTTGAAGAGTTATAACAAAAGTGCCCAGCTCTGCTTATCTTCATAAATCCAAAGGCTGAATGGATGAGTCATGGCTGCTAGAGATAGATGTAATGCTAGAAGTAGGGCAATTTGTTTTGCCCTTCCATCACAACTCCCTTCCGTCTCATTCACTCGGATGTACGTCATTGCTTACGTTACACTACTTGCGGAACCCTTGCAATGGGTTTAAATGGAATGACCTAAACCCTCGATCACTTGTGGATAAATTAAGTGCGAGCACTGCCAGTTGCAATAAAAAAGCGATTCATACATGAAAATTCTTATTTTTAGCCCTTTTAAGACACTTATTGGCCTAACAGGCAATATATTTGTCGACCACTAGCTAGATGTACTAGATTCGGTTTTTAAAAACATTTAACTGTAAATGTTAAACGTCAGCACATAACTCATCCCACACCTCAAATTATAAGTAACGCACTTTTTAAGTGACCAGACTTTTGTAAGGAGGGACTCATATCCACATATCCATCATGTGTAAAATACTGTATAAAGATATGCAAAAAAAAGCATTTAAATATAGCTCAAGATTAATTAGATTACCTAAGAAGTTCGTCATATTATTAACATTGGATATTTGGATATTATTAATATTGGATATTTTTAAAATGCATGAGGACTTTGAAATTATATTTTTGCAATTTAGATTTTGTACAACTTGCGACAAACCCATTTCGTAAAAATACCCTTAAATATCTCTGAATGGTTTTGACCATAGATAAACACACACAGACACACACACACACAATGTTCTCACCACAAAAGGTTTTCCAATGCACTTTTAATCAAATTGAATGGTAGATGATTAGTTTTTAGAGGCTGTTGTTGCACAAGACCCTTGATGATTTCAAAGTTTAGCATTAAAGCACACATAAATGAATTAAATATGTCCTCAGTGGTTCTAAATCAAGAATATGAAACTGAGCTGCTTTTCTTTGGGGAAAATTAGCTTCCAGTATCTCATTGGTAAATGAGGTTAGCATGTCTCGGTAACCACGGATGCTGTATCTCTAGATCCTTGTGGAGGAGATTGTGAGTTATTGCCGTCGCTGGTTTTTGTTGAGTGTAACCTGAGGGTCTTGAGAGAGCGAATGAGCTCTGCTGCCCTGCTAATTCCCCTGATACCTCACTCAGGAAGTGTCAGTTTGGCATCTCGCTTATTGAGAGAGGCATTTTGCCCCGCAGCCCTGCACAACATGCATTATACATGTACAGTGTGTGCATGGACGCGCGTGTGTGTGTGTATGTACGTCAAGGAGGAAAGAACAAGAAAGTGACGAGGATCGAGTGAGATACAGCCATGCTGAATCTGATTACCTGTCGAGTGTGTCTTCAGTGCTTTTTCTCACTCCAGTGAATATATCACACCTCAGTGCTTCGTTACTTCTCTCTGAATGTTGTTTCTATACTTGCATACTTCTCCACTTAAGTGCATTAAAGCCTTGGTCTCAAGCTGCAGTGGTTGTCAAACTCAATGTGTGTCTAGCTTGAAGTTGGAATATATAAATTATTTTAAAGTTTGTTGAGCTTCAGATACAACTTTATAGCGGGGAGTTTGCTATGATGATTCATCGAGACACTCCATATCATTCCTTACTCTTACAAGCTTGGTCCTCCCTCTGTCTCCACTAAATATGGAATTGTATCGCACCACGCAACTTTCTGAAACTGGGTACAATGTGCAGTTTGTCCTTGTCCTAGTGATGAAAAGAGTCGTTTATTGGACCCTATTTTTTTAAACCCCCTGTAGAAGAAATTACGACCAAGTTAGAGAAGCAAAACCACAAGAAGAGAGTATGGTGCGCGAGTAAAACCGAAGGGCGTTCATGAATGATTTGATGCATCTGTGTTAGCCAAAAGACTTTTAAAATGCATACTATAGTGGTTGCTACGCACCTTATTATAAGCTTACTTTATACAAGTTGGGTTGTGTGTAACTTAATCCGCATGCAGCAATGATAGATCGGATAATTTTACTGAAGCAGGGAACACACTTAACGACCGAAAGACTGATTATGAATGTAATTTGATACTTATGACTGATCACTGCCCAAACGTGCCGTGTCAGAGACTGTTGCGTTTTATTTTTATTTGCGTTCAATTTATTTGATTTGAGCACACTGTTCCCATCAGTCAAAAATGTGAACTGTCTATTGACAAATCAAGTTATGTAACATTTATTTATTTAGCAATTTCTATAATACAGATTGTTTTAAAGCAGCTTCATATTAATAAACAAGAAAATAACCTGTTGCGAAATCTGCGTGCGGAACTTTTTCGTCCTCGTACTAAAATTCCAGATTGCGTGGATTCCTATTGAAACTGCTGGATTTGAACAAACCTGGGTATTAAATTTGGTGCGCAACACCTTGTTGAGGAAAGATGTGATATTGCAGTTCTAAGCAATCAGACTTATACTGTACTTATGCACTATGTACTCAACCGTGTAGTGTATGAACTTTATACGTTTATTTTGTTTTTCAACATCGGAGTCTGATAGCCCCTCCCCCTCCGCTACGTAATTAAAGCTGCGACAGTTGAGTGCATGAAGTGTCCATCGTTCCACACTTTAGACTTTTTACACACCACAGTTTTTTAAATTAAAATAGGTGCATCATCCGGGTACTTAGTGGACTTTTCTTTTGTAGAATTTTCAGTGTGAACGCACTACTCGCACTATTTATTTTACAAAATGACTTAGAATAGTGCACAAGTACGCGATTTGGGAGACAACCTACAGACTTGCATTTAAGCATGGACTAAGCCATATCTAGGGACGAGTATATTGAAGAGACTTGAGTGTTGGGCTCAACATAGACAACCACCCAGAACAACTTTATCAATCACAAAGGACACCCTACTGCATAAGAACCTTGGAAGCCATCGTTGATCCGTAGTGAACAATTACTGTGGTTACTTCCTCTGGAATATGCACTTTTTAGGATCAGTTTGCAACTGTAATAACACCCATCCGTTCTGTCACAGGTTGCTCAGCTTCCCCTCTCCGTGAGTGACGGCCGCTGGCATCACATCTGCATCACCTGGACAACCAGAGATGGCTTCTGGGAGGCCTATCAGGATGGAGAGAGACTAGGGACCGGAGAGAACTTGGCCCCCTGGCACCCAATTAAACCTGGAGGAGTCATTATCCTGGGCCAAGAACAGGTGAGAGTGAGGACGTAAAAGAGCTGATCCCTCGCGATGGGACTCGCACATGCAACGATAATAATAAGTCTTCACACGCGATGATGTGAAGACGTCACCTCTCAGCCGCTCTGAGAGCTCAGGGACTTCTTGAGAGAAGTGTTACATGTGACACAGATAGCAGGCACGCAAAATCTACATGTGACACATAATCTGCTGCTCACCTACACTGAACTACTCTGATAATTGAGTGCTTTCACAGTGTTTAACAGCGCTTGAAAAGGCACAATCTGTGACCTAAATAGCTAAAAGTGATAGAATAATTGCTCTTAGATGGGTCGTCACATTTTTTATTTTATATGTAGCACTTTTAACAGATTGTACAGATTATGTAGATCGTTTCAAAGCAGCTTCACAGTAATAAACAGGAAAATAACTGTTAATGTTGTATAATTAATCAATAATGAAACTAATTAAATTCAGAGAATATAATTATTCGGTTCAATTTGTTCAATGTTGTTTCAGTTAAGTTCAATACATATTTAATAATTGATGAACTTTGCAACACTGACACAAGTTCAATTCAGCTATAAGCAGTGCTACTGTCATTATTATTCTCAAGTTAGTGCAATGTTTATTCAGTATAGTTCAATAGCATTGTCAATGTTGCAAAGTTAGTGTCATTATCTCACTTAATTCAATTCAAGTTTTGTTCTCATCCAATAGAGTCAGTGCAATCAAATCGATAATCTTGCTGAATATTAATTGCCTTTCTGACTCCTGAGTCATTTCTGTTGCACAGTAAAATTGGAGCTCTTTAACTTATAAGAAATAATATGCTTGTATTGTAAGTTACATATTTCTATAAAACACTTTTTTAAAATAAAGGTGTCAAAAATATTTCAGTGAACAGTTCTTAAAAGAACCATTTATTTCTTAGTGTGAAGAACATTTTAATATCTAAATCTTTTTTTATTTTTTTTACAAAGAACCTTTCAGTTGTTATGTTTCCATCCAAAGCTGCAAATTTAACTTGTGCGCAAAATTGGAAAATCGCATAAAACATTTGCGAACAAAGCACTGTTTCCATCCAGTGATCCGAAAAGAACAAAATCGTCACTTCCTGAAAAACTGGCACTAAATGTTACTAAGAAAAATGAAAGTTGCTGCAGTAGGAGAAGCCACTGTATATAATAATTTTGTATATAATAAATGACTTGTGTCTCAGAGCGCGCAGACAAAACGCAAGTTATCTTGCTTTCTGTAGCGGATGCTGCTGTTTGGGAATACAGTCGTGTAAACAGTTCTCAGGTAATTGTACTGAACCACTCTGATGACAGGCTTTGCGCCGGCGTTTCAGAACAACCAAAACATAATTTCAGATACTGTGCAACAAAATCGTTTCACTGGTTAGTACAGTAATGCCGTCCCATCGCAAAGTCACGTCTTTTTTGATGCCCATCGAGGAATTTATTCGGTAAATGTGTTTTCATCGTAGTTCATGCACATGTTTTCTTATCGGATAAAAAGTTTAACCGACTCAATTGATCGAATATGTTTTTTATGCACATTTTTTACATTTTTAAGCACTTTGGCGTTTCCATTCAGCGGTTTTAGAAAATAGGTTGATGGAAACATAGCTCCTGAAAGTTATTAAAAGAACCATTTATTTCTTGAAGAACTTGTTTATAAAACACCGTTATTTTTAATAGTAAAGGGTTACCATACACTAACTTCATTGTTCTTAGGGTTTGGCAGTTTGCTTACATGCAAAAGTTCATTTTTAGATATTTGTGTAACCAATTTTTAAAATGTTGACATTATCATACAGATTTCTGTAAATTTTCCACAAAAAAAAAGGATTGTTTTAGAGTGAAACCAACTAACTAATACCACAAAATTCATAAAATGTATTTGTTATACTTTTCCTGCTCTTGGCAGTCCATACAAGCTACATTTATACAATCCATTTTATTCAGACCCCTGAGGATTGATCCTATGTCCTTGGCATTACTTACCATATTCTACTAAACTACACACTCTAAAAAATCCAGTTAGTTTTGTGTATCGTTTTTCTCCACCAACAAAAATAGTCCCACTACAGCCAAAGCATCAGGCTTTGAGTATCGCCAAGAAACGCACAGACTGAAAGCCTTGAACAAACTATGTGTTATAGCAAATCTACAGGATTTTACCCTCTGAATTTAATGCGTTTTTAATCATTCATCTCAAGCGCCATTCGGCTTTTTCAGTTTCCACTCACCAGTCACCGCTCGAGTGATTTTGGTTTGGAGTAGTGTCTGTTTCAAATGTCTGTACCATTACACCAAATGTGTTATTATTCAGACAGCATGAATTTTACAAAGTATGTAGACAATTTAACTTACTTCAAGTCTCAGCAAAATTTCCCATGAAGAGGATTTCAATGTAGTCCCCGATAAGGTTCCTTCAGTTAGCATTAGACGGCTAAGCCTAATTAGACCGTAGACAGCAAAGCTAGGGTTTGGATAAGAGCTTCTGGGTCCCAGTTGCTTATAGCTTCTCAAAACACAGAATTTCGCAAAATCAACCAATTAGTTGGTTGCCTGAACAATTATTTCACCCTCATATGAAATTCAAGTACTCCTATTAAAATGACTGGATTTTGTCTATGAAAATGTGCCAAACAACTGTTAATGTGACCTTACCGTACCTTTACTTGAAGACACTGTATTGAATGCTTATGGTTAGGGTTTTAAACAAAACCCTCTACGTTTGGTGCGTAACACCCTGTTGAGGAAAGATGTGATATTCCAGTTCTAAGCAATCAGACTCATAGACTTGCATATAGTGAGGCATTTCAGGATCATGCCTGTTGGGACACGATGGAGGAAACCGAATAGTGAATAAATACTGTAAAAGTGCTTACTTTCTCCAGAATATGCACTTTTTAGGATAGTTTCCACAGTAATAAAGCAGTGATTAGTTGATTACTTGATCTTAACTGGAAGTGTAATCAAAATGAAATTGGTATCTCAGACTTCGACATAAGACTATGATTACCTTAAAAACACTACCCACAAGGCAGGACAGTCAGAAACACAACGGTTACAGTGCTGTAAAGGAGATTAAATGAAAGACACAATTTTCTCAGAGGGTTTTACAGTTTTTTTTTACAATTGTCATACAGATAAAAGACAATACTACCAATCATAAGTTTTGGGGTCTCAAGATTTTGTCTTTGTTGAAAGACATTGACATTTTTATTCAGAAAGCTCATTAAATCGATCAAAAGTGACAGTAAAACGTGTTTCAAAGATGGCCGCCGAGTGGAATTACTTGTCTTAAAGGGACTTTGGGTTAGCTTGGGAAAACCCAGACAACTTCCGGCAAATTTAGATTTGCTCTGAAAGTTAGTCTGGCAAAGAGCTCATTCAAGCCCATTTCCAATCCGTCGAAATCGCGGCACCAATCAGAAACGTTGGGGCGGGCTTTACACGATGACGACAGCGCTGGGATTTTGAAGCAGATTTTGTAGCCTACATTACAAAGATGGATGCCGCCGTCGAACATCACTCGTTCGAATCAGCTATCGCATCTGTTTTAAGCGATTTTAACGTTTCCTTTTTGTTAAAAACCAAGCAAAGAACAACACTCGGAGATGTTTCTCCGCCGCTCTGCATACGTCATCTCCTTCATCGCTCTGATTGGGTTTAGGTCTATCCGCGAAGTCCGTTGGTGACGCCGCTCTGGAAATGATTTGTCTATGACGCTTTGCCAGACCATAACTCAGTTACAACTGAGAATGGTCTGGTTTTAACCAGGCTAACTTTGGCTTGTAAGAGCTTAAAAAAGAGATGTCTTTCAAAAACAAACCTAAAATTCAGAATTGGTAGTATGCGTATATAAAAATAATCTAAGTAAATATTTTTTTTCAAATCTAGCTAAACAATTTGACTTCACTTATCACTACTTGTGGTTGACTAGTGTGCTGTTATTCCACAGGACATCGTAGGTGGGAGATTTGATGCCACTCAAGCTTTCGTAGGAGAGTTAAGCCACTTCAACATGTGGGACAGAGTACTGCGTCCTATAGACATCTCAGCTATGGCCAACTGCTCAGCCTACATGCCTGGCAACGTGGTGCCGTGGGTCGATGCCAACGTGGAGGTATTTGGCGGTGCCACAAAAGCAGCATTGGAGATTTGTGAAGACCGTCTCTTTGATTCCTAAGGACACGTCTGTCGGTTTGAAAGCGTTCTCGTTATAGAGGTAACACGCATCCCGATATTGCTCTGCGAACTTACAGAGAGACAAAGACAGAAGCACATGTTTACATATTTTCACATAATGGATTATTTCGTCCTCTATTCTGCTTTATGTTTGTTGAGACTTTGCTGTCAGCCTGACCAATAACTAAAATGACTGACTTTGGAAAGAAAAAGAAAAAAAAAAGGAAAAAAAATTCTGTGCATATTCAAGGTCAGAATAGAGTATTTGGGAATCTAGCTGAAGCAAACATTTCTTGTTGATATATTTATGCTTTTCTCTGTGTTGCGTCCTTCAAAAACTTTTTCTCTCCACAAAGTCATGGGTATTTTAAGATATACAGTGAAATATGGATTTGTTGGCATTTTTGCTTTGAGCTTTTGTCATGTTGTGTATATGTTAACGCCCTTCAAACCACAGTGGGGGGAAAGGAATTAAACTGCATAGTTTCATCATGAGCTTTATGAAACATGAATGAAGGAGCTAGTCTGTGACTTTGCCCATATGGAGAGGCACTCAGACGGAATCTGTAATCCAAAGATTAGTTAAAATCTTCTGACGTTTTGAGCAGATCTGCCATCCAGAAACCTTAAAGTAGCAAATCTGCCGAGGTCTGACCCGCAGCTCTCAGAAGCCCCCAGGGGAAGATCTGACTGCGGGACAGGACGGTCTGGCTGAAGGGCTTCACCTTATGAAGCTCGTTTGATTCTGAATTACAAATTTAACATGTGGTGTCTTTGAAATATTTGTGAAGGATTTTGACATTCAGAACATCGTTATGAGATTAATCATATGAGAACTGTTCGGGGAATGTGTGTTATACTTTTTTAATAATGTTTTATTGTGTCAGGGTTTTGTAAATTACCTGTTTAAACCCCTATTTTCTGTGGAGATGAAACAGAAATACTGATAGGCACTAATGAGGTTGACAGCGCTTGACTTGTTTAAAGCGCATGAATGTCGGGAAGTTTGATTGATCTGACAGTCTGATTCTACAAATGAGTGAATCTCGCGAAACCTGTCAAAAACATGCCAATGCCACCTTTCCTTCCCAAATCAAAAGAACAAAGTTATATCTCTTCCATTTTTATTTGATTAAGCACATTTTTTTTGCACTATAAAATTATTGTCATGACAATTAAGCATAAGCGCTTGAATTATGTCAGAAATAGAACAGAACATACGTTTAATGTTGGGAATTTGTCTTGATTCATCGTGCCGCATCCAGTGTAGACAGCATCGCTGATTGTAATGAGTTCTGTTTGCTTTTGTCGCATCGCACTGCTCGTGTCCTGTGAAGACACCGTGTAAATTTTATTTATTAACCAAAAAACCTTGGAATGAACAGGATAAACAGCAGAAACAAAGGACCACACAATGTGTAAATGTGTAAACTAAACTGTGGGTATAAATGCACAGGGCAAACAAAGGAACAAAACTAGACACAGGTAGGAGCAATACGAAATATGACATATGCTGTGTTCACGCCATGTCAGAAGTACCGTAATTTCGAGATGATGACATGTGACGTTCTACTCGAAGCTCTTCACGTCCTTGGACTGGTGCTGCCTCCCAAATCGCATACTCTCTTAAGGTACTTATTTTGAATAATTGTTCACGGCTGCTAAAAAAAAAGTATGTTATATGTAGTATGAATGTAATCTAGTAATGAATGTATTTATACCAGCGTCGCTTCACTGTCATTCACAAATCCTTTCCCGTGGCCTCATGGGATAGTAAAGTGTTCATTGCATGCGCACTTCAGAGTCATGTGGGTTCTTTTTGCTTACTCTTTTATGAGGACTTTACTCTAAACTTTACTCATTTAGGAAATCAAAGATGAGTTTTAAGGGATAATATTGACTAAAAATATTTTTTTATTTTTTACAATTTTAAGCAGTACACAAAGTGGGAAGTGTTGATGCTGCTACATGACAGCACCTGAAACGTCTGTGTATTTGAGAAATATTTAATCTAATCCGCTTCAACACCGCACGAGCGTCACTATAGCAAGCAGAAAGACCTCTGACCTCACGTCTCCGTTTTCAGCTCCACCCCGACTGCAAGCGTCAACTCTCGCTGATCGGTTACATCCAGCCGGAGGACTTGAACACTTTTTACAAGTTGGAATCTCGTAATGGCGTGAACATGGCGTTGAACGCACCTATAATCAAACCAAGGAAACTGAGACTAAGGCCCTGTCCCAAATGGCGCACTTCATGCGGACTTTCGGTCTCGTGGACTTAAATTGCGCGTGCTCGCCGAGTCCGTAGGCCGTCCCATTTAGCATTTTAACGCTCTGAAGTGTGCTCAGCAGCGCCCCCTTTGTACCCTTGAAGCGGTCTTCTGCGAAGCCCGCATAGATGCAGGCTCCTCCCAGGAATCCTTGCGAAAGGCCAATCAGACAACGGATGGGAGGAGATTTCGCTCACGGACAACTGTTAACATGGCTGAGAAGAAAATATTTAAGTGTAATTATCATTACGGTTTTTATGACAAGTTTATACAAACATTATGATCATCGACCAGTGGTTGATGTCTCAAACATAGGCTAATAATAGCGAGCTGAATAATACGATCGCATTATGATTCATTAAATAAATAGAACCGAATGTCAGGGCTTTACTGAGTCATATGTAAACACAACAACAATAGGCAGCATATTTCCCCGAACCTGTAGCTCCTGTCCATAACAACAATCAGACCATCTTCCTGTTTCCGGCGTGACGATCGAGTCTGTCCCAAAAATACCTCTCAATGCGCCCTCGCGGACTCGCGCTAAGGGCCCTATAGGTCTGCACTACATGACGTCACTGAAGTGTGGACTCTGAGGTCCACAAGTCCGGAGTGTGCCATTTGGGACAGGGCCTAAACAGAGCGAAGAAACAGGAACTAATTAAAACAGAACAGATTGTCAAAATAAAAGTCCCCATAACAGAACATAACCATGGCTATATATAGTATATACTGTGAAGTGTTTGTAAATTGTTTATGTAGTACTGGTAGTATTTGTTACATTTATTTGTTTGATTTTTGAATTTTGGTTTTTACTTTTTTGAGTAAAAATAATTTTTCAATTATTTTCTTGAAATAAAAACAGTATTACAATAATTCCAATAAAGAGAATCACCCTTGAGAATGAGAATTTAAAAAAAATCTAAAGTAAACATCTGAAAATGGGAAATGTGCTTAATATCATAAAAATAGAAAGAAAAAGAAAAAAAAGAAAAGAAAAGAAAAAAGGGGTCCTGAAAACAGGCTGTTTTGACCTGGAGATGTTTCCGTGTGATTCTTTACTGATTTTCTTTGTGCTTGATCTATTAATGACGACTTTCTTCAAATTGTACATTTGTGTTGAAGTAGAGCAGTGCAATATATATGGGACACTTTACGTAAATGTGGTCCTCTGCATCTTTTCTGTGTTTTCACATCTAAATGCACCGCTGGGCCTGTCGGTCTCGCTCCGTCTCGCCTTGTTACATGGATGTTTTCATTTCATCTTCCAACTTGTTGTGCACAAAGGCCAGATCAAAGTCTGTGAAATTCACTGTGGTGCAGTGTTCTTACACAATAGACACTAATAATGCATTAGTGTGTTTCCCTTGTTGACACGTGTTTGTATTTGGGCTACAAGAGCTCTACTGCTCTACCGAAATGCACTGGAATTATATAAAACACTTTTGAATACTCAGTTTCTTTCATTTGAATGTAATCTACTGCTACTTTGTGTCATAAATGTACCTAGAGAAACAAAAATATCTTATGTAAATGCAATTTTATCTGTTATGCTGCCTTCAGGTCCTGTTAAAATCATCATATGCTAAGTGATGTATGCGGGTGATGACATAATGATGTCGTAATGGGAACCTCCTAATTTTCAGTGTAAATTAAAGAATCATGGTGGAAGCTAATTGGCGTTGGCCATGATAAGTAATTGTAAATGTTGACGGCACTGCGTGTGTATAATTTTGTTGATGAAGAATAGCGATGAAGTTTGGGTAATGTATTCCCATCTGATGCAAAATTCCCATCATTCTCTGTGGCAGCACAGGAGTGAACCGATGAAGCATCAGTTAGACACATAATGTGCCTCATTTGTGCTTCATTAGCTTCCTGTGTTTACCAGGAATTGAAAAAGAGAAAGAAACTTCAAATAGTCCAATGCGTCCATGTTATTCTGACCGATTTCCAAACACACACATTGAAACTTCCCGGGAGGACTTGAAGGCAGCATTAGGGCAAAGCAGTGACTTGTTTATAAACTGATCTAATTTTGTTTCAGAATGTAACATGATATTTTTGTCCAAAAATGAATGGCCTTTTCTGAGCACCAATTGTGCTTTCTGGGTTTTTCAAGGGTTCAACACCTACTGTAATGTAAAAGGTGATTTAATGTTGAATCTCTCTTTTCTCGCATACAGAGCAACCTGGGTATGTTGTTCAGCATAGAGGAACAGTTGAATGTCCTTCTTCACCCAATAAATGCAACTGAAAACCACATAGTAGACTTCTGCCTCTGGGAATATTTTAATCTTTTACAGTTTGAACACACTTGCAGTCAGTGAATCTCTTGTGGTTCGTTAGGATTCTTTTAATGCATCCTTGCTTAATAAAAGTATCAGTTTCTTAAATAAATAAATAAATAAATAAATAATAAAATCTCCAAACTAAAGAAGTGCCAAATTGGGTTATTAGTAGGGATATCAATAGGGTTGAAGGTCCAAATTGCAGTTTCAATGCAGTTTCAAAGGGCTTTTACACGATCCCAGCCGAGGAACAACGGTCTTATCTAGTGAAACGATCGGTCATTTAAAAAAATACATATATATATTTTAGTGCTGTCAAACGATTAAAATATTTAATCGCGATTAATGTCAAAGTTAACTCTCTTGATTTCTTTTTGTCCCGTTATTTTTTTTCTAATTTTAATGCTCTTATCAACATGGCAAAGTGGATCGGCTTGCTTTGTGCCAATGTTTTTTATTGAAATATATACTGTGGCATATACTGTGTTAAATTTCACACCAACATTCTCACTTGAAGCAAATAATCTCTCACACAATGTATCACTGTCCATCAATAAAAGGGTGAAAGAAATACTGAGGAGGTCCTGATATTGACGAGGGGGCGGAGCTTCGCATTAGCTGTGTGTGTGTGTGTGT